GACCGTTTATTCTCTAAATATATCACAGTCATACGACCGGCATAAATAGCAAATCGTGGGTCAGCCAAGACTATTTTAACGTTGCAGTAATATTTAGTAAATATTCTAATCGGTTGATACATGAGTAGTTACACCCATGTTGTACAAATTCTGGGGTTAATAACCCCACATATTTGGCGCCTTTTTGGTTTCACTACCAAAGATTATTATTTTCCCACGCTCCAGGGTTGCGAACATGTTAAGTTATGGGTAGCCATATTGTTAGAAGCGGTATCATAGACATGCTAATGCAATCTACTTGCTGACATGTAACAGAGTGTCCATAAAGTCCCTTTAAAAATTTAATTTTGTTATGAAGTCAGTTCTCAATATATTTTAACCAGGTTTATTGTTTTTTAATCAGTAACTGTTTAGTATTTTTACATCATTTAATACATCTGCGAGGGCCAAAACAATATATGGATGGTATCGATAAATTTCCTTTGCAATTTAAAAAATTGTAATACTTTATGAACACCCTATATATTGAATTCAGCCGCAAATCCTGCATTTTTGCATAATATATTAATTAATTTCCGAGTACTATGCCTGTGATTTTATGGTTGCATATGAATTACTATTCTTATTGTGCTAGTTTCAGTTGTTTAATGAGTTTATAGGAAGATAGAATTTGATTATCTGAAAAAATTTCAATCAAAGTTCGTTGCTAACATGCATATGAAATATCATAAAAAAAGAGAGACGAAAATAGAGTTACGTGTTATTTTGAAATTTATATTCATTTGTGAGCATTGAATCCGTGGGTCCCCCAAAATATTTCTATACTTGTTTCGTAAAGTAAAAACGTAATGAACAAATAAAAAAAAAATTTTGAGAAAACATTCCGGATTGTCCCGATCTCTTATAGAAAATGAAATTATTTAAGTAATTAAACATTAATTTATAATTGTTTTGAATTTGGTCAAACACCGCTCCTAAGTCGGGCACCTTCGAAATATTATCATAAACATATTAATCGGGTAACTACTCAATTAGTAAACGGCTACGCGCCCCGCCCTACTGTCCTATCTAGATGGGGTATGCTGTGGCACTTGTACTTATTCGGTTGCTAATATTAGCATTTTCGTTTGACGATTCCCACGACAAATAAAGCAAGATGACGTCTCTTGCACGACACGTTGGAGTTCTTTAAAAGTATGCCCGTTTAGGCTTTCATATTTCTGAAATATCTCATTTTACTCTATTCTGGACAGAGTTTTGACGATGGTAATTTATGCCACTTGACGAAACAGGCAAAATTGATATTTTTATGAAATATTTGTTACTCGAAAAATAGCACATCAGTGGATGATATGCATTTCTATACAATTTTAGAAATTTTGCATGGAACATGTGATAATATTAATTATCATTGAGGTCGGATCGGTTCTCGAGCTACCCACAGCGAGATCGCGTCTGTTGCATAAAAATGCTGTGGCCCATTTACATTTTCATGCCAGGGGGAAAAGACAAGAGAAAATTATCAATCAGTAGCGAAAAGACAGCATCGTCATTTTTTGCAACTACAATCAAAATTTAACGATAGTGACACGAATGAACTAAATTTATTATTTAATCTAGCAAATTTTAATATGTTTGTGGCCCATCTGAACATGTTTCTCTGGCCCAGCAGTGGGCCATGGCTCACTGGTTGAAGATCCGTGGCATAAACGGAAGATTCCGGTCCCAAAAAAATTAGTCCCTTGCATGTAAGTAGGGCTGGGCATTTCAAATCGAATAGTGAATTATTGGAATCGGCCCGTAGTATTCGTACCCAGATGGCGCACAACCTGCTAACCCTAACCTGGTACACATACTATGTTCAGTTTGTGCGCCATCTTGGTACGAACACTACGGGAGCACCTTCGAATCGGTTCAGGGCAAAATTTCGAATTGCCGCCATCTTGTTTTTGATTTTTCCGCCAATGGTCGAGGTGAATTCATTAATTTTTTTTATTGAAGTCATATTTTTCCAACGCAATTCTGACATAGGACTATTTTCTGTAGTGAGTTATCGATAAAAAGTATTTCTTATTGTGTGTGATCGCTCGGCAATTTGTCTTAGTGATGTATTCTATGTTTTCAGTAATTCATTTGTTGACAGGACTAATTAAAATGAAAAAGTCGCAGATAATTATATATCTACCATGTATTCGAGATTCGGATAAATATTCGATTCGACTCCAACATATAAGCGAATGATTGTGAAGAATCTTGTTTAGAGTGAAAGTCATATTCGCATAACTCCAATCTGATATTTATAAAAATCTCTGGTTTTGTCTACAGCCGCGCAGATGTTCATCCATTTTGGATTCATTCCTATTTTAAGACATATTTATCTTATGAGAAAACATGGCATGTTAGCAATGTACTTAGAGTCCCCAGACGGTAAATAAAATCAAAAGAAAGCAACTAAAACATTGGCTGAGAGTCTTTTCAAGTATTGTTAGGTCGAGTAAGAGTGACCTAATTTTAGAATATTTGTGACGAAATTGACGTCATAATACTTCAGGTCATAAGAGGGTCCTTAGGAATGTGTACCATATTTACACTACGCAAAACATTGGAATGCTAACTAAAATTTTGCCAAGGATAACACAATCTTTTTCCACAAAATAGAAAGTATTTGTGAGCTTTCGTAAGATCATAGTATAACTTCTTTATATAAAACGAGATATAACTCCAATCAAACTGCTGATAAAAGATTCATATTTGTCTATTTAAGACTCATTCGAGCATCCTTCTGGACAACAGCCGGTGATTTACGGATCCAAAATAAAGTTAAACGAGGGGAAAGGACTTGCATGCCAATACACAATATACAATAGTACCCTCCATAATTTTGCATTTTTTCTATATCCAATTAAACCCCAATTTTGCTAAAGAAACAGGATTCGCCGTAACACTTCTTCTTTCGTGAGCGTGGAGTCTTACAGCCGTTATGTTTATCATTTCGTTTTGCAAACTCGGTGCTTTGTCTTGCCATATACCGGTACTGACTTTCGTGAGCGTGGAGTCTTACAGCCGTTATGTTTATCATTTCGTTTTGCAAACTCGGTGTTTTGTCTTGCTATATATCGGTACTGACTGCCAATTCGCATGCGGAAAGTCATGTCCGCCAGCCGACCAGGTAAATTCGGCGTCACATGGACCAAATAAACAATATTTTGTACAAAGCCCCCGTCACTAATGCAAAAATGTGAGATTTGAGAAAACACCTCCGCCATGTTTTAAAATACCAAATTAGTAATTATTATCCAGTTGGGGTTAAGAATGATTTGAAAAGTTGAATTTTCAGCGCAATCTGCGTTTCTAACCCAAATTTTCTTATTATGAGCATTGTCCGGGGCTTTGTACAAAATATCCCAATTAAATGTCTTATTGGGAAAATTTTGCGTCACTCGATCAATAAATGGTCAAGTTATAGCTATAGAGTATTTTCAGCCAAAATTAGGCTCTGTGACGAAGTCATTCGACTTCCGTGCCCATATGTTTGAGCATTGCTCTATTGTTCATAGTCGACTTAGTTCTGTAGCCCAGGGACTGGCGGACCGCGGTCCAAATCCGGACCTTTCGAGTATTTGATTCCAACCGCACCAAATTTTTTATTTTGGATCATTAGCCCCACTTTCGAAGTATTATTTTATAAAATGTCTTTCATTGTTCTGAATATTATGAAAAGAACTATAACAACATAACAAACAATCTTGATTGGCTGATAATCTTAAGCCGATCGAGGAATAACGCGTTTAAGGATGCCGAAATATAATTTCTGGAAACACCGGACCCAAATAATTTCGAAGTTTTGTATGCGGATCTTCGGTAAAAATAGTTGAGTAGCCCTGCTGTAGCCTACCCAATCTACAGTGAAATGACATTAATTTCACCGTTTTATTGTGCCGTAACCATTTAAACATTGTGTTTACAGATAGTCGTTTGGTCTATCAAAAATGTCTTGTGCAAACATTGAGTTACTACCGATATCAGACGCTTTTGTTGTTAGATTAAAACTTATTGACAATTGCAATAATACGAATTCCGGAAGCGAACGAAACGGTATCTTGAAAACAAACAAACGTATTTCACTATCAAACATGTACTTTCATATCTAACGAATGGCGTGTTACACAATATTATACGAGATCGTACGCCCATGATACGATATGCCTTCTGTGCTACCTGAATGGTTATCTTCTAGGGATGCGAGTGAATGTACGAGCCCACCGGGATAAATTGAACAAAATTCAAAATATTTTACATATTAAATTTTAACTATATGGCCACAGATCAATCAAATTAGCTTTTACACTATTTCAAAGTTTAGAGAAAATTTTTGTAAATTGTATAAAATTGTAAACCATACATTTGTACTGACAATGGGCACAAGGCACTATCAAAAGTAAAAAAAAAAGTATAGCTTTGAAAACCAGACCAAAATATGGCCCTTGGGGCGTAATTAGAGAAGATAAAAAATGTTCATTTTTGGAAAAAAGTAACACAATGTAGCCCTTACTATGGTTTTATTGTGACGATATGTTGTAATAAAGCCTCTTGCTTGATTTATTACAATTGTTTTGTGTGTTCGATGCTTTTTGCTAGTCTCAGGCCGTCTTCAGCGTGACTCCAACTTCCTTTGCTTAATTAAAGTTTGTTGATTATAAATCTCGCACGCATTCCATCAGGCAAACGAAAACAAACAAAACTATTTACTTCTCGTTGACAACTTCACCTTATGAATGCAACGTCTCAAAGGATGCAATTATTGTGTAATAATGTGTTTAATATAGCGCTGGAGGTCACTGAACTTCGTTTTATAATAACCCGAGGTCAATATAATATACTAATTTATGATGTATGAATCGATATTATGACACCACAACACACGTATATGTTACGTCACAGTGACCTGGTGTTGAAATTTAATTAAGAAAATGATATTTAATGTAATAAACTTGGCATGAGTTTCGCTACTGTATATTAGGTTTGCGGTCTCCAATAAGGAAGCGGATCATCCCTATGTTGCACGTGTATATTAACTTTATACCGGTGTACTTTAAAATCAGACCGCACATTTCATCCATGGGGAGTTGGTTGTATAAGCACAGGGTGGGATGCAATATCAACCATATTTGCGGTTGCTCTGCTGTGAGCTAGGTTCTTGGGTTCGTTCAGAATGGTTTCTCGTGCTCACATGAATGCCGTTATAATGCTTGTTCTTTTGTTTCGATCAGTTTGTGTTCGCAGTTGGAATTTTAACATAGAAAGTAAGTAAAGTATATTTTTTTGCTTTTTATTTTTGCTTTAAAAAGAGCAATTTGTGTACTCAGTTGGCATTTTAATGTGAAAGGAAAGTAAATTTTGTTCAATTGGTATATTTTCGACCATAAAATAACAGTTCATGTGATTGCCTGGTATTGTGCAGTGTCTTGTGCTCAACCTAATACCATTTGGTATTTGTTCTTATGTTGAAAACAGTTTTTGTGCAACATTGGCATAACGTAGAAATAAAATAGAGTGTCTTTTTTGGTATATTCTTGCTCCATTAGCACATTTTATATGGTTGCCTGGTATTGTGTAATAGTGTCCCGTGCTTATATGACGACCATTCTAGTATTGTTCTTGCAAACAGTTTTTGTGCAAAGTTGGCATTTTAACGTAGAAAGTAAGTGTAGTATGTTATGTTCTATTGGAATATTTTTGTTCTCATTGGAACAATTTACAATAGTATTATGGCCTTCTATTGCATATAAATAGAGAAAATCGTAAGAGGCAAATTTATAAAACGTAGGAAGCAAGAAAAAATAGATTTTGATATTTGTATTACCAAACACAAAATTATTAAAAACGTTTAAATGCGTGTAGTATAATGGCAAAGCGTAATGACTCAATGGACGATGGACGAAAAAGACTTAAAAAGTCTTATTTGTTATTATCAAGTATTCTCTGTACAAGAAAAAACTATCGAAATAAGAAACCTTGAACAGTTTAACAAAATACTAACAATGTTCCTTTGTGTGGACGAGAAATATATTATTGGACATAAAATGTACCGGAATGTTTCGTTAATATGCTGTTGTTGATCATCATGTTGTTAGCATTTGTTTCCTTTTTCTTGTTGTGAAAAAATCGCTTTTCTTCTTAACTACTGGGCCAGTTGCTTTGAAATTTCCAGCGGTTGAAGATTGCAGCTGGAAATATATTACCTTACTTTATTTCTAATTTATGGGATTCGTTTTTTTTAGTGGGCGATTATGTCATCAAAAATTGCGCACCTCTACCCACCGTACTATATTTTACAGCTTACGGCTTTTTGTGAAATGTCCTTACATTCTGTGATATAGGATAGAAATTTAAATTTACCCCGGCAAAATTGCTCGATCATATGAACGAGTCGTTTTATCGCTAATTTTTTCTCCAACGCGATAACTGTGAAATCGTTTATACCCACGACAACGTTGTTTCGGTAATGGCGCGATTTGTGTTTTATTGATTGTTCCTTAATTTTCCAGTAAAAAGGAAGGACAACCGAACAAAATCAAAAAAATCGGCTTATGAACTTCCCTTTCCTCTGACATAACTGCGAAAAATCTATATTACAATAGTTTAAGTGATTCGAGGGTCTCGCTGTACGCTAACACAAATATATTTCTGTAACGTTTCGTCTGACCAAGGTCAGACTTCCTCAGACATACATAGTTCAACTATAACAGGAAAGGGATGAGTTGTTAGTCCCGCAGAAACCAAATCATTAGCGCACGTTGCAATGTTTTTGTGCATTTCGCACAATTTGTGTTGTTTTGATGAAATCTCGTCTCAATAACACGCGAACCGGGGATTAGATCCACTATGTCTTGATTTAGGTTTAGTTTACCCAGCTAGATTTTGTCAGCTGTGACATCGGCGATTGTAACTTGAGACAAACCAAACCGAACCCACTTGAATAATTCAAATAAGAGGCCACAGATTAGGCAATTTTGAAAACAACCTTTATTTGAAATGTAATTGTGAAGTGTTTCAGTGTGGTCATATTATAGTCGGGAATATTTGGACACTCACTGTTAATATTGGGTGCGACAGGCAGTGATTTTCAACCTTTTTATCGTCGCGGAACCTCAATGAAACGTTCAAGATGAAGAACCCCTGTGCAATACTTGTACGTTATAGGGCGCCCACTTAAAAGATTTGGAATGTGTGCATACACATAGGTGAGATCACCACGCGTCCCGGTTTAGCCGGAAAAACCTCGGATTTTGACAAGCGGTCCCGCGCGGTAGACTTGAATGTTTTGGTCATGCAGTATTGCAATCATAATTTTTTTAATAATAGTCATAGAAAATTGTTTTATTTGACGGAAGCAGTCTATTTATCACTGATTTGCACTTCAATAGTGCAAATCAGTTCAATAGTTAAGTGAGAAAGCTACTATATTGTTATGTCATAATTATTACAAGATTCATACGTCAATTTAACTGTCTACTGTACTATGATCATAGTTGTAAAATGCTTGTGTTTAGAAGTCTGATCCCGGTCAGACAAAATGTTACAGAAATACATTTGTGTTAGTGTGCTGCAAGACTATTCAATCAAATTGAATTATTTAAAATGTCAAGAAGTAACTGCACGTTTTGCAATGATTCGAATTTTACTAATATTCATATACCTTGAATGTGACTAAGCCTCGTAATCGTACCAAGGTTTTAATCCGCACTGTCCCGTTTTTTTTTGTTTTATTACATGGTAAGCCTAGTTATAGGCTTTGTCCTGTCGATAGAACTGTCAGCAGATATTGATAGAATATGGAATTTCACGGGAGCTCACGAAGTATGTGCACCCAGATGGCGCACAACCTGAACATAGTATGTGTACTAGGTTAGGGTTCAGGTTGTGCGCCATCTTGGTACGAATACTTCGGGAGCGACATTTCACAAGCAAGACATTCTCCTTAAGTTAGCCTCTGTGGCAAAATGTCTTTTTTATTTGCACAAGGCAGGGAGGTTAATCCGCTTTGCGGAAATTTAAAGGCTCAAGTTATCTGAGCCAGAGAAACATCTGTTCGATGGTGATAGGGGATCACACGAACTTATGACGTCATAATCAAGATCGTATTACAATTAGGAGGTAAGTTCATGCTATATTTATAGCAAAGAACTAAGGATAAGCTTGTGTGAATAAGTATTTTGAAGAAAAAATTCCCTTTTTTGCGTCCAAAGAATTTAATGTAACGTGTATTATCGATTGTGTGATCGAAACAAGCGTTTGTGAAAATATAGAAAAAACTTTTTGAAACGGAAAAAGACATCAAGATTATCAAAGTGCAATGTAATCAAATTGTAAATTAATTGCAACATATACTCCTCTACATACATTTCTACCTATTTTATTACACCATGGGTGAATTGCTTGAAATGCGGAGATCTTAATCTGTGAAGGTAGAAAAGTTAGATCTGGGTCTAGACATTTTGAATTGAACACTAAATTATTCTAAGCAGTTCAGACGAAAATTTTATACCGCCGCCATCTTGTTTTTTTTGTCCGCCAAAAGCCGAAGTCAATTCTAGTTAGTTATGGATAAAACATCATTTTTATTGTGTATGAACGCTCAGCAAACTGTCTGACTGAATGAATGATTGATTCTATGTTTTCAGTAATTAATGTGTTGAGAAGATTCATTACAATTGAAATTGTCACATACAATTTCTCTTAGTATTCGAGATTCGATTCGAAATAGAAAAATACTATTCGGTTTTGGAATCGTTAGGTATATGAGAATGCCCAGCCCTAGTTAGGTTCAAAGCTCCAAGCACTACGCCGTCTTGCTGTTGTATTTGTTGGGAATTTTCTTAACTAATGTTTTGTGTTGCTTTGTAACTGTATTTACAAATGTCAACCTGTTTCATGAATTGTGTGTTGAAAACACGCGTTTCTCGAAGAATAGAGAACACTTTTTTAAATCTAGGATTTTATCATGATTCACTTCAACCACTAGATCAGGGTTGTGCAAACTGCGGCCCTCGAGGAAAAATTGTGCGTCTCGCGGATAATTTGAATGATGTGCGGCCCACGAAACGAGTTTTCAATTTGGTAATTTCAATCACTCTGGGTTGCGAAGCGTATACTCGAGTCCAATTTATTATCTATGTATATGACGTTCCAATCTCATAATAGCTAGCTTGTGCAAAGCGAACAACCCATATCAATAACGAAAATTTTTTCGCCTGCAAGTACTAGAAAGCCAATGTTAACAAAAGGTACGGTCCACGGTTTCACCCAGTTATTTGTATCTGGTCCTCTATTAAAGGTTGCTTTACTTTCTTTACTTCTGATGACTTGTATGACCTAATTCGAACTTCATCTGCATTATATTTGATAACTCATTTTTCAGGTTACAGACAATCCCTGGCTTGTGGGCGTGGATGCGTTAAGTGCGATGAGACCAACGGTTGCTTACTTTGTCGGCGAAGAATGTTTCTTTACATCAGCATGGAACGTGGAAGACAATATGGAACCTGCAAACATGAATGTCCAGAGGGATATTTTGGTCAACGAGGGAGAGATATGAACACATGCTCAAGTAAGCATTTCCTTATCGCAGGGTTTTTCAGCATAATCGTAGCCTGAGGGGCCATGCCCCCGAAGATTTCAACCCCCTTCCCCCAAGTTTTCAACATTTTTTTAAATGCAATTTTGCGGCATTTGCAGTGAGACATAAATTCTCACGCTCTTTCCAACACCATTTTGCTCTATTTAAGAACGATTTACTGAGAACCGTACTTTACTTGCTTCAAAATTTTTTTTAACTAAATGAACCAACCGAGATAGCTGAAAAAGCGCTCTTATATGCCTCGGGTAACTTCGACAGCGAAGTAAGATTCTCTAAGAAAGGGGTGCGCAATCTGCGGAGAAGAGCCAGTTTTGAATGATGTGCGGCCAGCGAAACGAGTTTTTTAATTTAGCATATATCTGATTTCTATTCATTATCTATGCGCATGACGTTACAATGCCCTACCAGCTAGCTTGTGCAAAGCGAACAACGCAAACGCTCATAATCAAAACTTTTCAGCCTGCAACTACTAGAAAGTGTATGTTAAATAAAGATGCGGCCCGCGGTTTCATTCAGTCATTTTCATTTGGCCCTCCTGTATCAAAGGTTGCACACCCCTGCTCTAAGATATTGTACTTTTAAGATATCCACTTTTATCCGGTCTTGTTGGAAGAAAAAGGCGTAATCTTTGTATTACGTCATTATACAAAACATTGGCATCCATGTTAACAAAATGGCTGACACTTTCGGATATGTCTTACCTAAATCAGTCCTGGAGAAGTGTTTTTGATAAACCTGTCCATCATACAGATCTCTGAGCGACGTTACGGGCGGGCAAACGCTATTACGGTGAACTATGCCGTACCCGTACCAACTATCGATACCGCGATTCGTGAAGCTGCTCTGTTCAAGTTCATACCTCATAAACACAATACTTTGTAACAATTTTTGGTACTCCCATATTATTTGAAACACATAGTACGTTCCTGTGTCCGCCCTCTTGGTTCATATTCTACATCAGTACCCAATTTTTATCTTGCATATTTTTATTCAGAGTGTGAAGTAGCGAACTGTAAGACATGCTTTACGAGTGATTACTGCACAACCTGCCAGGACAAGTTTTTTCTGGATTCGGAAAACGCAAAATGTGTGGAAGAATGCCCGAGCCATTTATATGCGAATCCTCACAACGGGAAATGCGAAGATAAAGGTAAAGTATTTAATACGGATCGTTTTGCTTAATAACGCCTTTTTCTGCAACTGATGAAACAATAAATTCATTATTTTTGTTTTTCACGGGACTCAAATTTGCCGATATTTATAATTCGCCCTCAACTTGGACCTCCAGAAGTAAGTGCACCAAGATGGCGCACAACCTGTATATTTACTTGGCTAACACATACAGTCTCTGAACTCGTTATAGAACTAAAATAGTGAAAATCGTAATGAAATCATGGCCTAACCCTAACCTGGTACACAAACTACACCCTTTGTAAAGCATATATCACGGATAGGCCAGCTTGTTCAGAACTATTGGGCGTAGTATGTGCACCAAGATGGCGCACAACCTGAACCCCAACCTGGTACACATACTATGTTCAGGTTGTGCGCCATCTCGGTGCATATACTACGGGAACACCAACTATTGCAACTGAAACATATATATTACACCAGGGTACATTTCCTTTAACTATTTTAACAATTTTCTTTGTTTCAGTTGATTGCGTGGTTGGACCTTGGTCATCCTGGGGTAAATGTGCGCGCAGGTCAGCTTCCCGTTCATGCAAGTATGGAAGAAAGAAAAGAACGCGACAAATCCTTCAGCATCCGACAGAAAATGGGAGGAAATGCGGAAAACTACGGGAAACGAAAAAATGCAAAACACCATCTAGTGAATGCATCTGTGAGTGGAATAGAGACAGTAAGAGCCTGCTACCTTTCTCTCTCTCTCTCTCATTTCCGAACTTCTCATTCATTTATCCTCCATTTCTTCTTGCATTGATAACCTACATTATTTTAAATTCCAAAAAGTCTATCTGGGAAACCTTGAACAGTTATTCACAATTTGTTGGTAGACGTAATGGTCATTCTTGGCCCTAATGGCCTTTCGTTTTATCTTCTCTCTCGTTTCTATTTCCTAACTTTACATCCAGGTTACACAATTAATTTTCGTTTCGTCTTTTCTATCTCATTTGCTTTTTTCTGCACTCCTAGCTTACATTACTTCAACTTTAAAAAGATAGTCTTGCTTGAAATAAACTTATCGTATGTACAGATTACGAATTTACGACACACTCAATTGTCGTCCTATTTCGGTATTACTGCTGATTTAACTAGAATTCATATGGATTACTTAGTTTATTGTTATGGAAATTTATCAAATATACATTTATACTGAGTTAACAAGAAGTACATGAGTGTGGTCTTCACACATAGTGAGGAAGAATGAAAAGTTCCAAAATAGACACATAAAAGAATATTCCACAAACGATTTGAGACCATTGGTATATACCAGATATGGGCAAGGCCACTGACATATAAGAGTTTGGGACAGGCCGAAATCTTTTAGGTTCGGCATTGCCTACCTTTTCTCAAATACAGCAAATGTGGAATTAACTGTTGCGGAGTAATGAATTTTTTTCCCACAACAATAAGATGATCCCCAACAGCGACACCAATTTAGCAAACCAAGCCATAGTGGACATTCGTGTCCAGTGAAGTTGAATGTACGAAAGCTAAATAATTGTTCACTAAAGGATAAACAATTCTGTTTACAGCTAATGAAGAACAAATGTTGTAACGTGTTGATATATTTGTGAGTAACGGAATAAAATGGTGCGGTGTATAGTAAACGGTGTTTAATAATAAGCAGCAAAATAACTTCCATAATGATAAAGCGAAGAATATTTAGCCAATCGCGAAGAATAGCATTTTTATAGGGAAGTTAAGACGGCTTAATCAAATGATACACCGGTTTAATTCAGTTACATGTCTCAAGTTCAATATTGGAATATCTAACTAATTCTGGGTCATAATCTTAGAATAATATGCTTGGCTTTGGTGAGCGTTTATAACATATCAGTAAAATGCATTTAACTAAATATACTGTGACCAATACTGTCCAATATAGGAATAGCTAACCAGTTCTAGGTCGCCATCTTGAAATAATATGCTTGGCTTTGGTGGTCGTTTAAATAAATGCACTTAATTAAATATACTGTAATAAATACATGATGTGACTTTTTCAATTATCACGAAAGAAAAAAAAACGAAATCGAATAACCAATTGCAGATGCATGAATTTTATCCCCAATTTGCCCCACTATAGTATTGTAAGATGACGCTTAGCAACTGCGATATGTTGCTAGCATCAACACAATTGAGCCTCTATCTAAGTTTCTAAAATGTGGCTGAGAAAGTCACAATGTGTGTTTCGAAACTTTTCTCTTTAGCAGTGTGTCGATTCTGAAAATAGCTTTTTTCAGCTGAAAAGTACCCTTCAAACATGTTGTTATTACGGTCCTTTTGTACATTTTGACGGTTTATATCAAAATCCTTGAAATAAATACTAGAGTCCAAAATGTTTTATTCTAGCATTTTCTGATTATTAGCGATTCTGTAACTAGTCAAGTTTATTCAGCCAGTAAAAAAAACACTGAAAATTAGGGTAAAAGGTTATTTACATTACTGGGGAAGGGAAGTCGCGGGGAACGAAAACTGTATAACGAGCAGCGACACCCAATTTCGTAACGTTTTTCTTACTCATCTTTAATTAATCACATATATTTACAACATTTTAGTGATCAACAAATGGATCCAAAAAATGGAAAAAAGAATGAGACAAAGACGAAGAAAAAAAGAGAGAAAACGTGGAAAGAAGAGAAATAAAAGAAAAAAGACAATTCAAGACAATAGTACTATTCCACGCTTGATTGGACACACAATAGAATTCAAAAACGTGACGTCATCGGTGTTGGGTCAAACGGAACGGTGACGCAACGGTGACGTCACATTTGGAATATTAAAAGCGTGACAATGCTCACCAAGTTACGACACCGGAAATGCGTAACACGAGTGGCAAGTGCTGTAGCACAGAGGTCAAATACTCTGACGTCCCATATACGTCATGATTGCATGGTTGAATGAACAATAAGTTCACATTCTCTTCTTGCACGTTATATCCATACTATTGCTCGCACCAACACATTGTATCTTACCGAATATTACATTATATGTTCATTATCATACACAACCAAAGGCCGAGAGGTTTCGGCTAATAAAGGACGCGCAACCTTCAATATCTACAGAAATTCGAAAGCGTCCCATTTCGTACAAGAACCCATCAATACAACTGACCGTAGCCTTTTTTGTATAAGCAACGAACATCTTACCGAAAAAGACTTTTACAATGAAATTTAAACATGTTCGTTGTTTTCAAGAAAATATGAATTATGTATCATAGAAGATGCCGGTGACCCACTGGCAACAAGATTGATCGCATAAAACATTTGGTCGTAATTTACAAGTTAGTTAAGAGATTGAATTATTGACTCGACGCGAATCCCCATTTATTTCATTATTTTTGAAGAGGAGGGTATGTAATTCATAATTGCCAAGGTAGTATATTATTGTCGAAGCGGTACAGAATTTGTATTCGAGATTGATAAACGTCAAAATTCGGAATTTGGAAATGTTTATTTTAGTGCTTTGTGGTTGTTCTTGTCCTTGACAACTTGACTGGAATTGACAAATGAATTTGAACCACTGCGACTAGTTTGATAACCGTCGCAGCAAATTCAATGATGTGTATTCTATTTATTTGTTGTTGTTTTGTCCTCGACTCTCACTCACGACTACGACAGCCGATAACATTTTTCTATGTGACAACTTGATATCCGCTGATGCTTGCTAATGTTTTTACGATTATTATAGTCGATAACATCGAGTAAAAATTGCTCTTTAATTTTGTTTGTATTTAAAATTTTGCTTTTTATTTGTGTTGTCCTCGACTACTGGGAAATCAGGTGAATGCAAAATCTATGTTTAACATTGACGAAAACATATAGTTATATCAATTCCATGTACAAAAATGATGTCAGCGCAACTTTGCCCCCCATCGGTTTTCCGACCAAAAAATTAGTCAATTTCTGATTAATGGAAGCCTCAATTAAAAAAAAAACTGTGAAAATCATTCGTCTGCTCTATTATGAGCTTGTTGGTTTAATTTTTTCGTCATTTTTGTGTCCGAGCTAGATCACACACAAAAGAATACGAGATGGGAGATAAATTTTAATAAGAGCTACAAGAATATGCTCTTTCGTTTGGAAAAAAATTTTTTTAGGGACATTGGTACAGTTTTTATCATATTTCTGTGTATTATATTTTGGTGCACCAAGATGGCGCACAACCTGAACTCAGGTTGTTTACAAGGTTAGGTTTCAGGTTGTGCGACATCTTGGTGCGCATACTTCAGGAGTACTTATATTTTTAATTGGGCTTTCGACGTCGGAAAATTTATTTCGGTTCAATTTTACCTATTATTTATTCTATGTAAACCTGATGTCTTTGCCATCATTTGCTTAAATCCATAATATGGTAAAATTGTAAACAATTTTTTAGTAAGTCAATTTGCTCAAACCATGGTCACGCACACTAACTCAGAAGTGAGGCAAAGCAACGGGTAGACACATGGATGACAATAGCCTAGAAAACTTTTGGTTCCCATTAAAAATGGGAATAAAATGAAAATTTACTGTAAAAGTAATTGATTACAAAGACGAGTCGAATTATACGCAAACCCTACTATTTGGTGACTGAGGTTACATACAAATAACATAAGCAGGGTCGTAGCCTGGGTTGAGGTTCGGGGCACCCCCCTCCTCCCTAATTTTTTTAAGTCATGAAAAAAGGAGTTTTTCTGTATCATGCATAGCAGTTTTCGTAGCTTGGAACACTTTTTAGACCCCCTAGTTGTTACGTTCTTACTAAGGTGACAATTACAAAATTCGGACCATAATAAGCAATATGCTACGTTGCCAACGGCTACAGTTGATCATGTACTTTCTTGATTGTAAATAAACGCAAGTAGGAGTATTGGGGAAGTTTGAGTCTCTGCAATTGACTCGTCTCAAAAGACCTGTGACTTGATTTGACAAGGTTTATGGACTCTAACCAACACTGGTCTGAATTTACCACAGGTTGAGAACCCATGGACTGAGATGTTATGTAGTTCGTCCCTCAAAGCAACACATCTATCAATTTTCCGTTTTACTCCTGTTTATTCAGTGTTTTGTGCAATATTTCGTTGTTTATGTTTGCAAATAAATATTTCAATTCTGCACTAAAATGTGTTTGACTAAAACTAATTGAGTTGAATGAAGCTAGGAACTAATAATTGAGTTTATCCGCTGTTTGTAACCGACGGCATGGGTGCGTAAAATATAGTAGAAGTATAGATTGTTATACTAAGTCAGGGGTTTCGGGCATTGTAACGTCATAGGCATAAATAATATTTGGACTCAGGTATAAGTTTCGTAACGCAAAGGGAATGAAATTATTCGTACGTACCAGAGTAAACTTAATTAAAAACTCAATTCGCGGGCCGCACACGATTCAAAATTGGCATTTCTCTGCGTGCCGCATCTAATTATTTTTTCACATTTATAATTTTATATTAAAAATAATAAAATCTTTCTTTTGTAAATATATCATTTTTTTATAAATTATAAGTTAAATTTATACAATAAAAAGTTTAATAGTTTATTTTCAATATCTGAAACCTTTATGTCAGAGTTCTGCTTCCCACTTTCTCAAAACTACAGTCAAGCTGATGTTTTTTATGTTTGTGGTCAAGTCTAATGGCTATAGAGTCGAGGCATAAAAACGACATAAAAAAGAAGCTCAGTAGCCGTGATCGGAGTGGCAATTTGAATAGACTTTGACTCCGGAGCCGAAGTAATCGTGATTCCGTACCAGCTCCCCAGCCCTGGGTTATAACAAGTGGCACTCCCGTAGTATATGTACCAGACTAGGGTCAGGCCATAATTTTATTCCGATTTTTCTTATTTTAGTTCTATTACGAGTTAGGGACTGTTTGTGTTAGCCAAGTGAATATATCCGCTGTCCGTAGGTTTATGTCTCTTTAAGGCGTTCATACAACTTGACGTAAAGTAGGGGAACAAAATTATTTTAGAACCCCCAAATTGGCACACACACTTCTATAGCGCCATAAAGGGAGCTCCGGAGCCGGAACTGGAGCCACAATTCGAATCGGGGCCAGAGTAATCGTGATTAAAAACCAGCTCCCCAGCCCTGGGTTATAACAAATATAATTTCCTAGCGGTAACATTATGCCAGGCTCCCTCAGACGAGCGTAATTCAACTACAACGAGAAAAGCGAACGCATGTACATATGTAAATATCTCGTTTATACCTAATATCTTTAAATTGAACATTCGTTAGCGAAAAATGTTGATGTCAAAGTATTTAGGTGTACTAGAATATCCGCAATCAAACAACTTTGTAAAATTTGAATTAATCATACAATAATTCATTAGTTTTTGTTTCGCGTTCTTCATACTTTTATCACGAACAGGTCTCGTTTAAGCAGCCTATTCGAGTGAAAAATATAATTTAAATTAAATGTATTCTTAAAGTGAAACTTTCTAAATACCATAAAATTTCATTTTTTTCAAATTTTCTCGACAAATTTTTTGAAACTGTTTATTGAGAACTATGCAAATTCAAATAATTTACGTTTCGTCTTGTTTAGCTCACATAGCGCGACGAATGTATCGTCCTTTTGGCCCAAATTTACAGTTGGAGGAAAAATATAACTCAAGATTATCTGAATAACATAATTCTAAACATAGATTGCGGTGGTGGTATCAGAGAAAGGGACTCGAAAAAATATGTCTTTGTTGGGCAGACAACCTCTTGTGACATAACAATAGATCAAGTGTTACCGAACAATTGCTAATACAACAATCTACTTGTATTGGTCGCACGCATAGATGAAAATGAATTGTTTTGTCATAACCATTAAAAAGCGCAAACGACCCTTAACGAAACAACTGATTTGTTTTTCAAAAGGCTGGAAATAAAAATTATACAGCACATTCTAGATGGAAAATCAGATCTCACAGAAAGTTTAGGAACAATTGGTACATTAGTGAATAAGAAAAGATTTTTTCGTGTATGATGAAAAAGGGGACTACAACATAATTACAAAACGATTCATAGGTTCGTGTCCAATAAAAGTAAAAGATTTCTGGTGACAAGTCCTTTGAATTCGAGGACGAAAAATGGTCCACTAGGTTGGCAAAAGAAAAAATTTTGCATGACTCGCCACAACAACTTTGCAAAACGGTCACAGGTTTACTTGCTGTCAATTGATATCACGATGCTTCCTAGAGATGAACAACGACAAAAAGCACAAACACTTAAACTCTCTTCATTCAAAAACAACAAATTTTATCGCGCAAGAAACAACTCCTCAACTCAATTTTCGAAAAAAATTTTGTCATAACAAATTGAACCAGTGATAAACTCGTGGACAAGAATGTTGAATTGGTTGGATCTTCTTCAGGAAAGTAAATAGCTGGCCCGAACGCTGAACTAGAATAAACGTTCAACATTGACCAACGATAAAAAATGTTTTCGAGGTAAATTTGGTCATGAAAATTTGAACCACGATAAATTTCGTGGAGTTAATACAAGTACAGTAGGAACTCTACCCACGAACGGCTCTGGATACGAAATATCCAACTTACAAAAATTATTTTGGTAAAAATATTGCTTCGACTAACGTAAGATTTTCTACATACGAAAGGCCGACAACCGAAAAAAACAAAACGCGTGTAGTGATATTTGTTTAATTTATTCCAGTGATTGAAGCAGGGATGTAAAATTCTAATATCGCGACTTTCGAATATCGTTTTTCGTGTTTATAGGAATACCGTATATGGCGCATATATTCTAGCGCCGTCCACGTTTCGTTTTAAAACATTTTCAATTATTTCATTTTTATCGTAATCAAACGCAATCAATCAATTAGCAATTAATTTCGTGCAATTTAGAGCCGCGGATTTTATCGTTATCCCGGCATCGTTGATAACAAAATCGTTCAGTTTAAGTTGATCATATTAATTTATAATCAAAAACAAAATCATAATAGCCGACATGAAATATTTAAATCAGTACCGACTCGAAAAATAAAAACACCTTCTTCAGTCTTAAATTCTCCATCAATGGCGTATGGAAATTTGGGAATTGGGTTCACTCATTTGATTATGACGATGATAGCATAATAACATTTTGCGTTTTTCTGAATCAGCGGTAGTTTTTTATCTCACTTGTCAACTTTTAACGCTTTCTCTTACTGCCGACCGCCGTCCTGCCACTATCCACGGTCTTAGCTTGGCCTAGTCGGCCAACGCCAAATGTGATCAAACATAACGTTCGTAGTTTTTGTTCGTTATTTCTCTGATATTTTTTCTTCCCATGTTTACATTTTCTATTTATTATGCAATAATCTAATTCTGATATGTATTTTTGACGGGTTTCAACCATTATTATAATTCATACAAATATTGAGTACAAGTTTTGCGGGAGCTTAGAACGGATTAGGGCATTTACAGGTAAAATGCGTCCCCACTTACGTAATTTTCTATTTACGAAGAGGCTTCCGGAACGAATTAATTTCGTAGGTAGAGTTTCTACTGTATGTTGATTTTGCCATGGTTAGGAATCTTCTTCGGGAAAGTAAAAAGCTTGACCGAACGTTGAACAAGGAGAAATGTTAGGTAACGTTCGGTAATGGCGGGTTCAAAAAACATTACGACCACGAGACAAGTTATCCCAAATGGGGAACATCAATGCTCGATTAGAAGTCTTTAAACACGTTAAATCATGCAATTTGGATTATTGAAGTGAAAAGCAAGTCAAGCGATTTATGATGTCATGTATACTGTTTGATTAGTCCATGATAAGGACACAATGCCTCCCTCAGCCATTCTTAGAATATATTTAACAAATTGTCAGCGATAGTCCCCAAAAACAAGCGCGGTTGAGGCTGAGAAAATACTGATACCAATTGCAGTTTCTCACAAAAAGAAATGTCAGGTTACGTTCAGTAATGGTTCGTACAAAGTTGACTGACTACAACCTCATAGACACAAATTCCGAGACTTAAGCCAAGTGTCATTTCTTGATTGGAAGGTTATAAGTGCTAAATAGTTCCGTACTTTGGAACCGTAATTCAAAATCAAATATACGGCAAATTGCCTCATTTGATCAAGTTTAAACACATATACATAATATACCATTAAAACGTACACGATTGTTATTTGAGCCATGTTTTTGGCATATTAATGGCTTCAAACTTTTAAATTTTGACAAAAATAATTAAAATTGCTCATTTACAAATCAAAGCAAAATATATTAAATTCTCAGGTGAGACACAAGCACCTAAAGTCGCATAACATTGTCCCAAGATTTCCTAAAACAACAAAACTTGTAAAACATCACCAGGACAATTCGGGACGTGATGAGCATAGTACATAACTTCTGAAATCCTTCTTTAAACATGAAAGACCCCGATCCTTGAGCAAAACAAACAACATTCTCACAGATGGTAGGTAAGCCTATGCCGACAATATAAACTATGTGATATCACAATCGCAAAGTGATAAAGGCGAGAACTAAATGAAAGATTGAATGTGGATAATTGGTCCGTTTCGAATTAGAGTCAAATGTAGAACTCCTATTAAGGCAAAATACTCAATGCGTATGGATCGAATACAGAATTTATATCGAGGCCTAATTATCAATGTAAATGAGTACGAATCGCGCGTAACACTGGCTAAGGATCTATTGTAGATTGAATAAATAGAGTAGTTTATATACAAAGTGAGAGAAGAAGAAATAAACTTAGTCATTAGGAAACTATTTGCTAATGCATCTACTTGCTATTAAGTTACAACACAGATCTTTTACTTTCTATTCAATTTAAGAAATTTCGACATTACTAAACTAAAGTATATTTGAATTTGAACACCAAGAAAATGCATCGCATAAATCGGAAATACTTTTCACGGATGCTATGGATTCATTTACTGATACTTTGTCTAAATAATTCAACACAGCAGGATGTTAGATCTAGATATGGAAGGTGGGTATTAACAGAGTTGGGCAGAGGCCCCTAAACTCCGAGTGGCGAGTAAATTCGAGTCCCAGGGCATCCCAGTCTAAAGACGATCCAATCACTGAGTTAAGTCTCGCTAGACGCTAGTT